ATGCACTTGGTGTGTTGTTGTTATTATTATTATTAATTTTGAGCTGCTTGTAATTGCATATAGTGCTCTTTATTAATGCAGTAGTTAATTAGTATGTAATATGGACACCATAAAATGAAACTTTTTGACTGAAACTTTCACATTGAAATCTGACTTTCGTTTGCAAACTTTCATATCTTGTAAAATCTCAGCAGAGTTTGAAACAGGGGACATAATGTGATGTTATTAGATTAATTTTCTCATGTGAAAACCCAGAGAAGCTGCAAACTTAACTAAAGTTATTATTTGCTTAATTTATTTTGCAGTTTAATCTTGATGTCTGAGAAGAAACAGTGGAGATATTAAAGCATTTCATTTCATTTGATGTTATTTTTAACCTGTGAGCATACTTTACAGTTTTACTTTACATCACAGTTTACAGCTACAGTATAAGAACAAAAATCTAATAAAATATCTGTGAATACTGATCGGATGCAGAAATGTGTGTGTGTGAACCTAGTTAACTATATTTTGGGAATTAATTTATACCCAGAAGTGAGCTAAATGTGACAAAACCTCCTTTTGGGTATATGCTTAATTGTTAAAAAAGTCAAAAAATATAGTAAATAAAGTTTATTTTATAGATGCAGAAAGTTGCTGTTCTGTTTTTTTAACTAGCTGTATATAAAAACAGCAGAAGTCTATAGAAAGTCCTCAATTAGATTAGTGTGTGTTTGGTGTTTGATATTGTAAATGCATGAGAAAAAAAAAACAGACAATAATGTGCATATAAGGATATGCTTATTAAATGTCTTTTAAATACTGATCAGGTAGTGTGTGTGTGTGTGTGTATTTTAAGTAACACATTGCTGATTCAGGATGGTATTGCAGAGTCTGTTGTGTTTCAGGCATGACTAGTTATCAGGGGCCCTGACCACTTAGAGGACAACACACACACACACACACACACACACATATATATTAGATTTCAAGACATTAATATAATTGTACAAATATTTTATAGAATATAATTCTTTTAATAGTTTAAAAAATATGTGTGTAAATGAGATTTGCATTCTGGTGTCCTATTTTTTGAAACTAGGTTCTAACAATTAGAATAAAATGTTAAGTAATGTAAAACAATATTTTACAATTTTAAGATTTTTAAGAACATTTACGTACCCCAAATAATGCAAATAATCTAAAAAAAGAGAGAGAAAAAACTTTATGTGAGGGAAAAAAAGTATTATTATTCTAACACCATTACAAATGTCTCCAAAGTTTTCACACTTTGTTATGTTGAAATAGGGGAAGTATTGGGAGTGTGAAATCTTTGTCTTCGAGGGGCGAACCCTTCCCGCTTCCAGACATCAGCGTACCTCCACAAGCCCTGTGAAGAAAAACACAGCAGCCGCAGGGAGAGAGACAGAGTGAGACGCAGCCGACGTTTCCAGTTCAGAAAAGTGCGCTGTGCTCCCCTGAGAGTCTGTCTCATCTCTATGATGGCCAATAATAGCCCATTGTAGTCAAACGCTCCTTTTCCTCCTCGCGACAGAATGAGGACGCCTTATTTACAGAGGACAGGCCAGTACTAGCAGAACAGCCCCTCTCCCCACACGGAAATACTGCTGACAGAGAGAGACACAGAGAGAGAGAGAGAGAGAGTCAGTGAGCACTTTTCCAGTAAAATCTTGGCTTTCTCCTTCTCCTTTATATTTATAGTTGCGTTTAGGAACATTGGGACCTGTGACTGGATCTGCCACACCTTCTCAAACCCGACCAAACGCTGCTCTTCCACTTCTGAAGCCTCACCATCAGCGGCCACACTCACGGTTCTGTGTCTTATGTGCTCTACAAACAAATACACAAGTTTGAAAATTACTATCACGACTATATATTACTAACACAGCCAGTAGCCAGAAATCACTGTAAATCGAAACTAAATGCTTGCTTAATTTCTCACTTGGCAATTTGTTCACTTGTAGATACAAGAGATAAAAGTTGTTTTACACTTTATTTTACAGTGTTCTTGTTACAGTGTAATTGTATTTAAGTACCGAGTAATATTAATAACCCACATGTACTTTCTATGGTTAGGATTCAGGTTTGTTTTAGGGCTATTGCATGCATTTACACTCTAAAAAATGCTGGGTTAAATACAACCCAGTGCTGGGTAAAATAGGGACAAACCCAGCAATTGGGTTGTTTGACCCAGCGGTTGGGTTACTACCCAGAAGGTTGGGTTAAACATTTATTCAAACCGCTGGGTCAAAACAGCCCAATTGCTGGGTTTGTCCCTATTTTACCCAGCACTGGGTTGTATTTAACCCAGCATTTTTTAGAGTGTAGCCTACTACATGTAGTTAGGTCTACTCTAGTTGCTAAAAAGAGTATTGCCGGTCATAATTGCTTACTTATTTTTTTAGGTTTTTAATTTTTAATGTATATTTAGACATGATCAAACACTAGATTTTAAGTTTTTGATTTTTTTAAATGTTAAATTAAAAAAGGTTACTTACATCCCAGCGTTATTTTTTATGATATTCACATAAGCAACAACGTGTCCCCTCGGTTTTAATGAGCATGACGCCTCTGATCTCAGGAACAGAAAACTGTCTAAATTTCTGTTGAAAAATGATCTGTTGTGATTGATTTGTTTTGGTTTGAGTTCACAGAGTCACAAATATTGTATTTGTAAAAACTACAAGAGTTTTTATTTTTATTTATTTTTTATTAACCCCATATTTTCCACTCAAATTATTTTAATACGTTCCTCAGACCTAATATTTCTGTAATATTACTGAAGTTCTATCCCTGTATATATAATGATTTTATAATAATAATGCATAATCATATTGTTAACAACTAACTAAAAATTGTAAAAACAAATTACATTTTTTTACTAACATGTTGTTCCAAACCCATATTTCTTTCTTTCTTTTTTCAAATTCTCTTCATACAGTGCAAGTAAACAGTAACTGAATCTCTAACTAACATTTCCCTTCACGGACGTATGAAAGTCATATGGATTTGGAACAACATGAGGGTGAATTTTAATTTTTGAGTGAAATAGCCCTTTAATCCTCTTAAAATGTATAAAATATAAACTTATTATTAAAAAATATATATAGTTAATTTGTGTGCTTGTGCTTTCTTAAAGCAAATTACACTTATTTTTTATTATGTAATGCAATGGCATTCATACATTTGTAGGTGTGGATTTTGGGGCCTCCATAGAAATAATCATCTCATAGTATAATGCACCTGGATACTTGGGAGTCATTCCCCACCTGTCCGGCACTCATGAAATAAATATTTGAATATTAAATACATCACCTTAGAGGACTTAATTGTCCTCTGTCCTAGACATGTGTGAACTCAAACTCTCTCCTGTGAGTGTCCTACCCTAACCCATAATTCATTCCAAACCTTTGAAAAAACAGGTTAAACCTGATCTAAAAAAGCAAGAATGTCAGTTAAAAGCCAAAACAGACACACCACCTCACATGCTTTACAGGACAGAAAGACATACCAAAATAAACAGACGGAAACATACTTAATACAAATCCAAGCGCATGAAATGATACGATTACATGTACGCTTCCTTACCGGATTTAGTTTATTGTCATAACTTAACCTTGCTATATTATAAGCCTAGTGGACATTAAAATTGGTGGAAAGATCTATAGATTTTTAGGTTCTTTTTGACTTGCAAGCAACCTCCTAGCAGCCACATAGAACACCAGGACAACTGAATATCATCATGATAAAGACCACTCTGAAAGCCTTAGAAACTGTAAAGAATCCAACTATAACACCTTTACGGTGACAAGTTTTTGTTGTTGTTGTTTTGATGTTTTTATTTTATTTTATTAAATGTTAAGACCTAGCTTTATGGTACATTCACACTGGCAGAATGTTGTAAAAGCAGCAATTAGTTCCAGATCTTCCCTTCCTTTTATTCAGATGTAAAGGGTTATTTGCTGGTTTATAATGAAGCCCTAGGGACATTTATGTATCCAGTGCCACACCAAGAAATTATGCTCCACAGATTGTTTATTTTTCATACAATAATTTATACCTGAGGTAAGAATAGTTTACAAAAAGAAATTAGCAAAAGGTGGTTTTTAAAAAAATTTTTTATAGGAGAACATGAAAAGACGGGAAAGTCGATCTATTATCACATTAATTATTATTGATGCACTAAATGATACAGTAAATACCATTTGTTTGTGTAAACATTAGTTCAACAATTATACGTGATGTCAGATGAGTAAAGCGGGTTGAGGGCAGACGTTTCAGAAGGATTTCCATCTGATGGCTGAGAAAACGGTGTGGATGACATACAGCAAAGTGGTGAAAAAGGAAAACACCTGAAATTAAAAAGACATAAAAAGTCACCATACTTCAACAAGTAAAATGGGCAGCTGCTAGTTTAAAATGGCTTTTATTGGTGTAATCTAATGTAGTCAAGTTGATTTAATTATATGAAATCAGTTAATAAAACAATTGTTTTATTTGTTACCACATGAATCACATTTAGGTTACCTAAAAAGACATGTTTTTTATGATTTTTTACTATACGGACTCACCACAGCAGCTACATCCAGCTTGTAAGTAAGTGTGTCTTTTAAAGATCCTTGACTGAAAATAATGGTTACAAAAGCTAGAAGCACAGAAGCACTGAGATAGAGCAGCGCTGCAAATCCATGGTATGCTACATCCTGCAGAGAGAAAAGAAAATATACAAGAAAATAAGAAAATGTTCATTAGGAGAGAGGAATTAACAGATAGAAAGAGAAGTAGTTGAAGTAAAAAGAGAAGGTGGAAAGGGAATAGACAAAGAGAGAGATTATGAACTCACCGCGCTTGCCCAATAGCTTCTGTTTTGATGACACCCACAGGCAAAGACCAGCAACCAGAGGAATGTCATGATGAAACAGAAAATTGCCACAGAGATCACGTATGCCTGGGGATTGATGAACGTAGGATCGATTAACGTAGATGCAACCAGGCTCAACATCAGACCACCAAAGACCTGAGAGATGAACATAATGAAAGAAAATTTCACTTACAGAATCCCTCTTTATTCCTGAAGTTACAGAGCTATTATATACATTTTGCAAATTTTGAACACAGAAAAAGTTACATAGTGCTGCTTTAAAACCAAAAGCCTAATATTTTGATTTCATGTTTTTTTTTAAAGAGTATAATGAACATGATTAACACTTGCACACGTAATATTCTGTGTTGCAATTAGTAACTAAAATTAAAACAAATACATAAAAAAAAAAATATATATATATAAATATTAGATTAAAAAAACACTTAAATGAAAATTAAAAAAGTTTAAGTTTAAGAACTAAAAGTACTACAACTAAAACAAAATAAAAGAAACCTCTGAAATTAAAAACAAATTAGCTATAAAAAGCTAAATGGAAAAATATATGTTAAAAAATAAAATAATAAAAAATAAATAATAAAAGAGCCAAAAGCACATAAAACATAAGCTAAAATGAAAATGAAAACTGATAATACAAAATTATTAAAAAACTAATTAAAAATCTAAAAAATTCTATAATTGTACATCAATAATAGTAAAATAACAGGTAATAATGTTATAATACATTATATTTGAATGTATTATGTTTTAATACATTATATGTCTAACACTGCAAAGGAAAGTATTATTATATATTATGGTTGTCAAATCGATTAATCGTGATTAATCGCATCCAAAATAAAAGTTTGTGTTTACATAATATGTGTGTATATCATATATAAATATAAATATAAATATATACATGTTTGAGTGTGTATATACATATACATATACACAGTACACACACATATATAATGTAAACACAACATTTTATTTTGGATGCAATTAATCACGATTAATCGATCTGACAGCCCTATTATATATTAGTATAAAGTATTTATGTATAAAATGCATAATTCAAGATTCAAGTCAGGTGATGCTGAAACATCTTTAAACAATAATATTCTCTCAATATTAGATTAATAGTGATAACCAAAGGTAGAGGAAGTGTGTATTTAGTGTGTGTGCTTGTCTGTGAGTGAGTATTAGAGCAGAGAGGGCGCTCCATTATCCCAACATCCCCTAATCATTACACTCACCCTGCATATTATTAAGGGGAAATGTTGCATCACACACACACACACACACACACACACACACACACACACACTCACACACACACACACACACACACACACACACACACTCACACAGCTTGCTGGAGCTGGGATTTGTGGGAAATAAGTCACATCCTAAATTGCCTGGGTAGCCATCTTTGATGGTGCCCTGCTGTTTTCCTCCTCTCATAATCCCAGTGGTTCCTCAATTTAGAGAGGCTCTCGTGAACCTGTCCCTCGCACAAACACACTATAATGGCTAATTATGGAGTGTGTGAGGATATCGAGCCGTCTGGCTCTTTTGACATCACTGTCACAGGCGGAGGGGTCACGGTGAGTGGCAGGTCGCGGGACGTCAGGGGTTTATCTGTCTCTCTGATCTGTTACACTCTCTCAGCACTACTTAAGTGGATTCGCAAAACCTCTTGCTATCAAAAGCACAGCTCAAGCCTGACTGAAGAGATGAAAGTACAGTTTAAAGATCATCATGCAGTATTTTATCTCCTACAATCGCTCAAACATTAAAGGCCCTTTCACTGGACTCATGACAGAGCTTCAGCATGACAGCCAACATTTTTGGCCTCTGAATGTATCTTTGCCACCTTGTTTTCAATTGCCAGCACCTTACAAAAAATCAGATGTTATGAACATTGTTTTATAATCACTGCCACTTCATAGACTTCTATGCATTGCAGAAAGCCAGAAGAAGAAGAAGATGAAGAAGAAGAAGAGCCTCATGAAGAGCCTTAACAGCCAGAAAATTACTTTAAAAGATTTTAAAAGATTACTTTAAAATCTTCAAAAGATTTTAACTGTCGTTTGGCAGTTAGTCAAACATCAACTATCTGAAAGACTTTTTAAACAGAACATTAGGAATGCACCAATATGGAAGTTTTGGCCATAATAATAATAATAATAATAATAATAATAAAACAATTTAAAAACAGGTAAAACTGCAGAAAACAATCTTTCTAATCCTACAATCAAAAAAAAAAAAAAAAGAAGCTTATACATGCTTATGGGCAATTTTCTTTTATAAAAGTTAAAAGGAAAATATAGTTTCACAAATATAAAAAAAGAATTAATCAAATTTTTGAGTGCCATGAAAAATAAAATCTTAGTCTAAAAATGTAAACATTTTATTTTATTTGTGTTTTGTATAGGTAGGCCAACTCGAAATAATATGCCGTCCCATGATATTTCGGAGACAAAATTCATATTTAGTAAATAGATTGGCCTATTTTACTTAAATGGACAGTACATATAACATTAAACATTCCCATTTAAGGCTGATACCGATATGACTGACCAATATAGTGTGCATCGATACATAACATCATCAAAAAAGTATACTTTTTGATACGGATCCTGAATGGAAACTTCTTGATTAATGTACTGTTGCTATAGTAACCTTATCATATTAACATGTAGTTTGTTTGCAAGCATCTACGCTACCATTCAAAAGTTTGAAGTTGGTATGACTTTTAATGTTTTTGAAAGAAAAACATCTCTTATTCTTACCAAGGGTGCATTTATTTCATTAAAAATAATACAGTAAAAACAGCACTAATGTGAAATATAATTACAATTTATTCTCTCTCTCTAATGTATTCCTGCGATACAAAATATTCAGTGTCACATGATCCTTCAGAGATCATTCTAATATACTGCATTTGCTGCTCAAGAAACATTTCTGATTATTATTAGTGTTGAAATCAGTTGTGCTGCTTCATATTTTTGCGGAAACTTTTTTTTTTAATGGTTCCTTGAGGAATATAAAGTTTAAAAGAACAGCATTTATTTGAAGCAGAAATATTTTGTGACATCAAAAACGTCTTTACTGTCCCTTTTAAACTATTTAACGCATCCTTGCTAAATACATAATTCATTTATTATATATATATGAAAAAAAAACAAAGAAAAACTCTTACTAATCCTAAACTTTTGAATGGTAGTGTATTTGACACCATGTGGATTTATGTGCTAACATGTAGCCTAACTTTTGTGGTTACTCCATGCTGTAAACATTCCTTCATGTAGCATGTGGAAATACTTTATAAAACCCCTTTAAAACCCTTTGTTTTGACTTCCTTTGGAGTTCAAACCTGATTGGTGGGTCAGACCCCCAACCCCACTTTAATTTACACCCTGCCCACGACTCCTGAAAGACCCTTTATCAGCGCTCCCAGCTGGAGACATACGTATGAGAAGAAGGAGGAGAATAAAAGAAGGAAAAGACAGAAGAACTGACAGAGGCATAAACATCATTCACTCACTCTCTCTGAATGTATGGTCAGGGAGAAGTGAGGAGACGAGAGAAGAAGAAGAGAAAGTGTTGTTTGGCAGTCCATCATTCTGTCAGGTAGGTATGTGAGAGCTCGCCTCAGGTAGATGTGCTGTCAGGTAGCGGACGGGTATTAACCTCTCCGAAAGCCAGACAAAGACCAATCGGACGCACGTTAAACACGAGAGACGTTAGCTGGGAGGGCACACTCACCCAAAAAAAAAAAAAGATAATGACTTAGGCTTTGCAGAGGTGAGCATTCCTGCACCTGTGAGGCTCACACTGGTCTAATACTTCCCAGGTGTGTGTGTGTGTGTGTGAATCCCTATGGATTCATCCAAGGAAGCAAAAGTGCAGTCAGACCAGAACACTCAAACAATGACTGTAACTTTGTACAGAATCTTGGGACTTTACGTACACAAAATGTGTAACACCTGTTACTGTTGAAAACTGTCTGGCTCTGTGTGTCAGAGTAGTGGCATAGTGAGCCTTAAAGGAATAGTTCAACCAAAACGAAAACTCCATTGATAGTATGCAACCAAAACTTTCAATCTTCAAAAAGATCATAAGGACGTTGTTATTGATGTGAATCAAGTGGTTTAATCCAAGTCTTTTGAATGAACAGATTTAATTTAGGCTTTTATTCACATATCAATATTGATCAATGCTAAACTAAACTCTGCATGAAAGTGGATCTCGAGGGCCAGAGTTGCCCAGACAAAAATAGTCATGGATAATTCTGACTAAAATAAGACTAAAATGCTCAGACTTTTAGTTGACTGAAACTTGACTAGACTAAAAAGAGTATGAACGTGACTAAAACTAATAAAAACTAAAATGACAGCTTCACACAAAGACTAGACTAAAACTAAAATTAAAACAGGCCGCCAAAAATGACACTAGTCTCAACGAAACAAAACAAAACAAAAAACAAAACAAATTACACGCGAGTTTAAGCATTCAGCACCCAGATGAAAAAAGTTCTAAAACAAACAAACAAAAAACTAAACAAAACAAATTACATGTGAGTTTTAGCATTCAGCAGCCAGATGAGAAAAATATCTCAATGAAACAAAACAAAAAACAAAACATTTTACATGTGAGTTTTAGCATTCAGCAGCCAGATGAGAAAAATATCTCAATGAAACAAAACAAAAAACAAAACATTTTACATGTGAGTTTTAGCATTCAGCAGCCAGATGAGAAAAATATCTCAATGAAACAAAACAAAAAACAAAACATTTTACATGTGAGTTTTAGCATTCAGCAGCCAGATGAGAAAAATATCTCAATGAAACAAAACAAAAAACAAAACATTTCACATGTAAGTTTTAGCATTCAGCAGCCAGATGAGAAAAATGTCTCAATGAAACAAAACAAAACACAAAACATTTTACATGTGAGTTTTAGCATTCAGCAGAAACAAAACAAAACAACACAAAACAAAACAAAACATTTAGTCATTTCAACCATTCAGCAGCCAGATGAAAAAGTTTTAAAACAAAACAATTTTTTTACATGTAAGTTTTAGCATTCAGCAGCCAGATGAGAAAAATGTCTCAATGAAACAAAACAAAACAAAAAACAAAACATTTTACATGTAAGTTTTAGCATTCAGCAGCTAGATG